TTTATTTACCATTTTTCTTCATTCTCTCAGTCATACTTATAAAATCATTTTCTGTAGTACTATTAGTAATACAACTATTAAAAATGTGTTTAATAATACGATTTATTTCTCGTAGTACAAAAAATAATAAAAATAGTAAAAATATAAGTAATACTGTTAAAAGGGATATAATTTTTAGTAACAATTGATTTATGTCTTCTATATTTATTATTAGTCAGCGATGTCTTTTCCCTCAGTTGCGCTATAGTATAGAGTGTAGCGAAGTGATAACTGGCTATCAATTTCGTTGATTATTCTCTGTGTTAGATCCTCGTGATGGTACAGTAGCTCCCAGAAGAAAGAAAAGCCGAGGTCTCCAAGATTTGATTTGAATGAAGGTGATCGTTCAGAGTATTTGTATAAATCGAGAAAATGTTTTTCAAAGTAATTCAATAGTGTAGAGGTATTTGGTGTTTCTCTGACGTTTGGTAGCAGGTTTTTTGAAATATATCTTGATATATTTTCTCCTATAGAGTTTATGTAGTCCAAGACAGGAAGTTGTTCAATGTAATTTATCCAATGATTTACACTTTTAGCGGTACACTTTAGTGTAAATCATTGGATAAATTACATTGAACAACTTCCTGTCTTGGACTACATAAACTCTATAGGAGAAAATATATCAAGATATATTTTAAAAAACCTACTACTAAACGTCAGAGAAACACCAAATACCTCTACACTATTGAATTACTTTGAAAAACATTTTCTCGATTTATACAAATACTCTGAACGATCACCTTCATTCAAATCAAATCTTGGAGACCTCGGCTTTTCTTTCTTCTGGGAGCTACTGTACCATCACGAGGATCTAACACAGAGAATAATCAATGAAATTGATAGTCAGTTATCACTTCGCTACACCCTATACTATAGCGCAACTGAGGGAAAAGACATCGCTGACTAATAATAAATATAGAAGACATAAATCAATTGTTACTAAAAATTATATCCCTTTTAACAGTATTACTTATATTTTTACTATTTTTATTATTTTTTGTACTACGAGAAATAAATCGTATTATTAAACACATTTTTAATAGTTGTATTACTAATAGTACTACAGAAAATGATTTTATAAGTATGACTGAGAGAATGAAGAAATATGGTAAATAAAAAAAAAAAAACGAAATATTTTACTTGTTTTCATTTTAAAAATAACCCACATCTTCAAAAATAAATAGAAAATCCTACATCTTTTTCCCATTAACCCATGCCATGACTAATTTATGACCTACATCTCTATTACCCCATATTGTAAATCCCTATCCACATACAACTTACCCCCCCCCTCCCCCCACCAGATCGTACAGGAAAAACTTCAGGCCCAAAAATTTACCAAGCGATCCCCTTCACAGGGGGAGACCCCTCACGGCGGGGAGCGGAAAAGGTCTGGCGCCAGTGGCCGCGGAGTGGGGGTTTGTTGTGTCTAGCTCTCGTTGCCCCATACTACTAATGGATTTTGAATTCCAAGATCTGGTGGTAACTGCTTTGGAACGCTGGTATCCTGTTTTGCATCTTGTTTTGTATTTTGATTCGCGTCTTGTTTCGCATGCCTTGCTTTAACGGCCGCGGTTATAGAGGAGGGAAGAGGGACAGGTTTATGTTTTCTAAGTCCTGAGTCGACTCTAGAGGAGATTGCGTCTGCTTTGTACTTTCTTAGCGGGTTGGGGAATAACAGGTAGTAAAAGAGGACCTGATTCTGGTTCATTGGTGACTGGATTCCTAGACAGAGCGTCGGCGTTAACATTTAACCTACCTGGCTTATAACAAAAAGAATACTCATATTCTCTAAGTCTAGTTCTCCATCTTATAAGTCGTTGGACAGAGGGTTTTACAGAATCTATCCATTTTAAAGATTCGTGGTCACAAACAAGAGTAAAGTGACGACCATAGAGATATGGCCTGAAATGTAAAATACCGTTTATAACAGCTAAACATTCCTTTTCCGTTGTTGTGTAGTTTAATTCAGCGGCTTTGAAAAGCTTGGATAAATAGGCAATGGGCCTATTCTCACCAATCTTTCCTTGACTGAGGACTGCACCTAGTCCGTAATCAGATGCATCGGTAGTTAAAATAAAAGGTTCATTAAAATTTGGAAATTGCAGTACTGGAGAGGTACATAGGGCGTTTTTCAGATCTTCAAAACTCTTTTGATGTTCATCAGTCCATAGAAATGGTTCTTCCTTTTTTAAAAGAGTGAACATAGGTTTTGCCCTACCGGAAAAGTTTTCAATGAAACGTCTATAGTAACCTGCCAATCCGAGAAATTGTCTAATATTAGTAGGATTTTTCGGAACTGGAAATTTTGAAACTGCTTCTGTTTTCTTTGGATCAGGTTTGACTCCTTCTTCGCTAATAATATGTCCCAAATAACCGACTTCTGTACTCAGGAATTCGCATTTATCGGGCTGCAATTTAAGATTAGCAGTAACAAGTCTGTCAAATACTCTTCTTATTCGAACAAAGTGGTCTTCAAGATCCCTTGAGAAAATAATAATATCATCCATATAAACAATTGCAAATACACCAATTAATCCGACTAAAACTCTATCCATGCCTCGTTGAAAAGTAGGAGGGGCATTCTTTAGTCCGAAAGGCATATTTACAAAATGATAATGACCGTTTGGAGTTGAGAAGGCTGTCTTTTCGCAATCTTTAGGATCTAATTGAATTTGATGAAAACCGCTAGCTAAATCTATTACAGTAAAATATTTTGCTTCTCCTAAACAATCGAGAATTTCTATGATGTTTGGTAGTGGATAAGCATCGCCAATTGTTTTCGCGTTTAATGCTCGGAAATCAATTACTAATCTCCATCTCTTTTCTCCTTTACTATTGGGTTTCTTGGGAACTATCCATAGAGGTGAACTGTAAGGTGATTTAGACTCTACTACAACACCATCTTTAAGTAGTTTATCTATCTGTCTAGTAATTTCTTCTTTATGGACCGGCGGATAACGATACTGTCTCACGGAGACAGGTACATCATCTGTGGTATGAATGGAATGGGAAATAACGGAAGTAGTAGTAAGAGGATCACCAGGTAACTGGAAAAGTTGAGGATATTCCTTTATCAAATCAATTATTTTATCGTGTTCTTCAGTATTTAAATGATTGATATTTAAGTTATCTATGATTCTATTGATTCTATCCCGGGCGTCTATTGGATTCTCTTCACCGGATTCTGAATTGGAATCTGAATTGAAGAAATCTTCAGAGAATTCGTCACTTTCGAAAGGAAAGATCTCTTGAGGAGGGATCTGAATCTTCATGTCCTCCTCGTATGAGTTGATGACAAAAACATTGCAAGTATTATCAAAATTTGTGACTAAATTCTCACCCATATAAATGTGTTCGTGTTCAGTGCGAATTCGCGGTAGATAACCGGTGATAAGATTGGTCGGTTTTAATTTCAAATTTACACAAGCTCTAGTGCGTGCTTTAACAATAAACGTTGTGGGCTCATCGTCCCAAATAGGAATATTTTCAACAGAGGGAATATTTTCAACAGGAGGAGGATTAGCTGGAACGAGTTCATTTGGTTTTGAAGGTTCAAAATAAATAGGAGAAATCGGTCTAGAATCTGCGACTATGGCATTATGGTGAAATGAAATTTCAACTTTCTCTTTTTCCAGAAAATCGACACCTATAATCCCGTCTGTGGGAATCGGTAATGTTTCTCTAAAAACATGAAATTTTTGGGGTTTCTTAAAGAAAGTGAGTTCAGTTGAGCCTACAGTATTAACCTTATCATTAGTAATACCAGAAACTGTTAGTGCTTCATGGGCGGCTATAATTGAACGAGGGTGCAATGCTTCTAGTTTAACAATGTTTATATCGGCGCCCGTGTCTACTAAAAAACGACCTTGACCATTTTTTAATTCGGGGGCTTTTAACACGACTATTGGACCTCTACCTGAGGTTCCTGACCAGTAGATGCTCTTTCGGCTGTTAGAAACTTGATTGTTGAAGATTGACGCGATAAGAGGGGCTCGCTCGTCGGGGCGTCTGACCATCGAGCACCCTGGGAGTTTAAAGACTCAGTGCGTTGATTAGTAGGTATTGGAGATTTTGATCTGTCTCTATATGTATTAGGATAATAGGGTGAATCCTGATAGTAAGGAGCAGGGTAAGGCATTTGTGGTGGATAATATGGAGGAACATATGGAGAGTATGGAAAAGGGGGTAAATAACCCATTTGCGGATAGTATTGGGAAGGGTAATTTCTATTAGGAGAACGTCTTCTATTGTAACGATTTGAATTGTTTGAGTTCTGATTACTAAACTCTTTATCTTTTTCTTGATTAAAATTATTTCTTGGGTACGTAACGTCATTTCTATTAAGAGAATGAGGGATTGTACCTCTTCTTTCCTCGTCTTGAAAGCTAACCACGCGAGTGGGGCGTTCCGAGTTATTTGATTGGTCTTGAGTTTGGGCATACCGCAGGTAGTTAGAATTTCGAGCGCTACTACCTTTCAAATCTTCTTCTATGCGCATGGCAAGTTTGTACGCATCTTCGATGTTAGCTGGGTTTTGAACTGATACCGCGTAAACAAGGTCATCAGGTAACCTGCGTTTGAAAGACTCTAGTGCTAACCCGTCTAAAAGTTTCTTCATGCTAGTTACTTCTTGTTCGTTATTAAATTTTTCTTTTAAAGAAGAAACTGCGTTATTAACAAGGTTTTTAATACGATTGTAGTAACTAAGAACAGATTCGTCCTGATTTAATCTTACCGATTGTATATCAGCACAATACTGAGGGTACGATTTCTTACTGGCAAAGTATTCTTTTAAGGCGTTTTTTAATTCGTTGAAAGTGAGAATTTCTTTACCGTTAATAGCATCTCTGGCTAAACCTTCAAGTTTCGATTTTATGTTTTTCAGAAGAGTGGGGTGAAGTCCCTCGGGCGAATCTTCTTTCGCGCTTTCGACATCTTCTAAAAATGATTTTAAGGGCATATTTCTGCCGTCAAAAGTAGGAACCCTTAGTAATACTTGATGCAACAACATGGATTCGCCCATAGTTGTTATTATTGCATTAGTTATATTTTGATGGTGGGTAAGGTTCTGAATTTCGGCCTCATGACCCATTTTGATATTGTTTTGGCAAGAAGCTTAGTAAAATAAGTTGGATTTTTAAAAGAATCCAAACAAATATTGTAAGATGATGTTATTCTTTTTAAAAGGTGATTTTAAATTGAATTCTTACTTTCGCGAAAACTAGAGGTATAAAAATCTGTTTTCCGTTTAAATTGAAAGTGAAATAGATGGAATACTTTCTAATAAATTTTTATGATGTTGAATCAAAAATAATATAAAAATTGAGTTTATTTATGATTTTTAAAAGAATGAAAATCTTGATTTTGTAAAAGGAATTTAATATTTTCTGCAATTAATTTTCAAAAATAGTAAAACTTTAATGATTTTTAGATCTCAAAAATAAAATTAAACAAAAACAATAGAAAAATCAGCGTGAATCCCACTTCTGACACCAAATTTGTCACGAACGGAGTGAGTGATGGGCGCAAGGAATATGAAATAGAAATCTCAAATATCCGAACGTTATCACTTTGTCCGTTCGGGAGCTAAATTAAAAATTGCGTTGGAGTGTGGAGCGGTACACAAGTTCGAACGTTATCTCTAAGTGTTAACTTAGAGAGAGTAAGGATGATGGATCCTGCTGACTTCGGTCACGAGTAACCTATTCTATTGTTTAGTTGTAACTTTATTTTGTAAAGGAGATCTTATTTTATTTTAAAAGTAAAAGTGAAATAATCGACTTGTTTATTTGTTTGAATTTATTGAGAAAAACAAGTAAAAGTGTTACAAATTTAGGTTTACAAAACGGTTAATAAAGATAGAGATAAAAGAACACAAATGTTAGAAAAGAAATAATGTCTTAAAAGTAGATAATGTTTTGGGCTTACCCTGGAAGTCTGCTCTTTAGTAGAGAGGCTCAAATTTAAT